TTCTAAAACAAACAGATTCAGCACTCGGGTTCTTTCTTTCCTTTGTCTGCTCAATTGCTCCTTACAATGAATTGGTCCATGATCACAGTCTGTACCAGTTTCCCCAGAAAATGTTTCCCAAAGAGAGACAAATCTTGCAAATGAAACAATCTCAAGGAAGCACAGTGGTCCTGAGTTTATTGTTTTTAGAACAGTAATAAAATATATTTTTAAATGGCAATATGTCTCCCAAGTGCTCATTACTTTTAAAGCCCAAGATAGACTTTAAAAACCATGCAAGGATAAGCAGTTACAAATCCTGCATGAGAAAGCAGAATAGGACACAGCTACTAGAGCACGATTTTGATATGGAATCAAAACTGCCCCTTGCTCATGAAAATTCTTGTGGAAACTGAAACTAGGGAGACAGTGAAAAGGAAAAATCGTCCATATATGGCAGTCAGTTTTGACATGAGGCTCATCAATAGCCCAGTCTTTCCAAGGCACATCATTATCTATCTGATCTGCCAAATCCGATACTTAACAACATTGTCTTCAGGACAGTTGACATACCCTGGAAAAGTCTATCTTGTAAATCACAAAGAAAGATGACAGGTTCCACAGATCTCATCAGCGATGAAAAAAAGGGATGCACACAGGAGCAGACATGAGGATACTTGCTGGCACCATGAACCAAGTGTGCTATGTGTTATTTCAAGAGCAAAAACCTCTACAGCACACTTTTTCTTGAGACCCAGCAAGAAACCCCTGACTTAACCTGTTTATCTCATTACAGACTGACTTGAGTTTCTGAAATGTAAAGGCAAATGAGTAGGAAGATGGCATGATTTTTTTGTATAAAAGAAAGTGGTGACAGAGGTGGGGGGTATAGCTCAGCAGTAGATATGCTAGCAAGCAGAAGGCCCTAGCTTCCAGTCCCCAGCAGAGAAGGTAAACTATAACTGTTTCCTCCTACCACAAATCCATAGAAATAGCAACAACAAAAGACTTTACAAAGAAGTTGTAAAATAAGAAGTTGTCTTCCATGCACCAGAACTACATGGAGTCCCAGAAAGAAAATAATTGAGAGCATTGGATGAAGGAAAACAACAGTTCAAAACACTGAAGGGGAGAATTGGCCAAAAACGAAAGCTAGAGTCTAAGCTCAGAGGTAGCTGATGGCTGGTGCTAGAAATGCCCAGGCAACTGACGTAATGGTTCTGAGGAAGGAGCCAGGCTGACTAACCCTTCCACACTTCTCCTCTCCAACCCTGGCATGGGGCAGACAAGTCAGCATCACCTTCTGATATGAGTGTTAAGTGTGGGCACTCTGTCCTCAGAAGCATGGCCATGAGCCCAAGGCATGCCAAGGGTGTACTACAGACTGGCTGGCAGAGTTTAAAACTTTAGGAGAAGAGTAATTAAATATCCTCAGATGATACCATAGCAATATGCCTCATTAAAAAAAATGAAGATCTTAGAAATTAAAATAGTGATCACTGAAATTAAAAACTAAACTGATAGGCTGAGTGCTGAATGGATACAACTAAAGAGCAACTCAGTGAGCTGGAAGATCCAGTTAAATAATTCTTCTAGAATGTAGCATGGAAGAGAAAAGCTAAGAGATGTACATAAAATAGAAACCATAGGTCAATGATGAATAGGACTTTTCAGATGAAAAGACTAGAAATGACACATAAGAGACAGATTTTCCTAGAATAAAAATATGTCTCTGAACAGGATTAAAATGATTCGTATATTATGAAATTTCAGAATCCCTAGCATGATGATAAATACCTAAAATACACATATGCACGTGTGTATATGAACACACATACCTTAAAGAGGGGATCCCATTTAATTTATAATTCCAATACAAAGAAGGCACTCAGATAATTATTCCACTGGATGGCAAAGTACCGATAACTCCCTTCCTTTCCACCTGCCCTCTGAGATCATTCCAGGTAACATCCCCATCAGTATTGACATCTGATCACCCAGGCCAGGCACCTCTACTCCACTGCTGTTCATCTTTACCCATTCCACTGAATGGGGTTAAACACAGTTGTTAAGCCTGTGCCTGATCAAGTTCTGGAAGTGTTCCTCTATATTTCTCTCAACCTACAAACCCCAAACCTACCTCCACCGACTTGTTAAACAGGGTTTCTCATCTCCTTCAGATTTGCAGTCCTTTGACTTGATCCTATGCCCTTGTATGGACAGATCAGCATGCTGACTCAGCTTCCTTCCCAATTAGTCTGGATCCTATGATTTATCCTTGATCTTTCATTAGGAGCCATTAATTTTTCACTCACATTTGTGCCAAGCTGACCAGTCAATCCCCAACTGGAATCAACCTAATCCATCATGGTTGGTTTAAACTAACAGGTTGCTAAATCCACTCAGACATGGAATAATCATGGACCCTAACCTGGGTCCGTGGTGGCCTCAAAACTGGATGGCAATTCTTTCCCCATCTCTCCTTAGCTCCTGTGTCCATTCTTGAAAGATGCTGTCCTAAAACATCATTCCCTCAAAGTCTTCTAGCTTCCCCTAGCTCACTACCAGTGATCAGGTTTTTCTTAAAATACGTTATGATAAAGAAATGTGAGATGAAAACATAAACATACACACATATATAATGTGTATACATATATAGTGTGAATATATGTGTGTGTATATATACATAAACACAAAAATCAAAATTTTATTCAACCATAAAGAAGAATGATATTATGTTATTTACAGGAAAATGAATATAATTGGAGAGCATCATGTTAAGCAAAATTAGCCAGACTCAGAAAGACAATTATATGTATTATATATATAAGACATATAAAGTATTATATGTCTTCTCTCATATGTAGAAGCTAGTGGGGGAGGGGCACATGATAAAAATAGAGGGAAGACAACAGAGTAAATAAAGGGGAAGCTAGAAGCGGGGAGCAAGGGAGAGGGAGGATGGGAAGGTAAGGGGTGCTCTTGGGTAAGTGAAATTGATCAAATAATGTTACATGCGTGTACCAATATGCCATAATGAAACAGCATTTTATATAGTTACTACACACCAATAAAATAGATATTAAAAAACATTTTGTGAGCTATTCTACTAGTATACAATTAACTATTCTAAAATTTAACATGTTGGAAAAAGCATTTTCAATATAAAATGACTAAATATTATCTCCTTTATCTCTAGAATAATTCACCCATCCAACTATACTTTGTAATACCAGTTGCCCTCTGCCTATATCTTTCTCCGACCTTGGTTGACCCACAGCACTCTTTTCTGGTTTTCTTCCCACTCCTGGACAATTGCCCTTTATGTCCTTCAAACTTCTCTGGCAACTTACTGGTATACCTCAGACTTCTTTTCATCATAACATACTCCCTAGGTGAGCTCATACACTCCCACAGCTTCATTAATTACAGCTATATGCTGATGACTCTCTCATTTACATATAGTCACTTAGACTCAAATACCCAAATGCTTCTAGTATCTTTTCTAGAATTCCCCTACATAACTCAACCTGAAAATGTCAAACCAACTCATTAACTTTACCCACTCACATACTGCTCTCCATTCCTCTTTTGGTTTATAGAAATATCATCTACTTATTTTCCTAAGATAGAAAATTAAAGTCAACTTTGACTCTTCCTTTTCCTTAACCTTCACACCCAATACACTAAGTTGCAATGATTTTATTCTAAAGTGTATCTCAAAGCATCCCTTTTTCTGTATTTCCAGTGTCACTACACATCTCATCTCTTTCACCTGGGCCCTTCCTCTTAATCTTACATAAAACTGTACCAGTGGGTGGCAACCTAGGCTGTACCTGGGGAACTTATAAAATTCCTAATGCTTGAGCCCATCCCAGACCAAAGATACCAATCTCTTCGGGGAAAGGACCCAAGCATCAGCATTGTTTTATAGGTCTACATGTGATTCCAATGTGGAGCTACATTTAAGAATTTTCCAGAAATACTGGGGAATGATACTGACTAAATTATATCGTTATATTGTATACATGCATGAATATGTAAAAATAAATCCCACCATGATGTATAACTATGATGCACCAATAAAAAATATGGGAAAAATATGTGTGCTAAAATTATAAAAAGAAAAAAAGGAAGAATTTTCAAGAAATAAAGCCATGAGCTCACGACTGAAAGTGTAAAAACAAATCTACAGCTCAACAAATTAGAGAGAAACTGAAAAATCTTGAGGATAAAGAGAAAATAGTGTAAAATATTTGGAGTAAAAGACAGATTTCCTACAAAGGAAGGAAAATCACACAAACAGCAGAGATGTGATAAGAGAGAAGACATGAAGTTAAAAATCTTCAAAGAGTTAGAGGAGGAAAAAGAAAATGGTGAACCTAGAATTCTCTAGCCTGCTAAACTGTTCTTCAAGAATAAAACAGATTTTCTCAGACACACAGAGCTCAGACTCTACTATTCCAATCATTACTGAAGCATTGCCTTATACAGAAAATAAGTGAGACAAAGGAGGATTTGACCAAACCTGGAAGTAGAAGATACGTGACAGATGTACACCATTGAGAGGTCCCATGGCCTTAATGAAGGTAAACTGGTTCAGTGCAAATAAACAAATTTTACAACAAAGTATTAGTAGAGATCTGACTTGTTAATTTTTATTGTTTTCTTGTGTTTTTTTAGTCCAGTTTTCAGCTATCTGAATTCCTATAACTTTAAAGATATAGAAACAATATATCAATATTAAAAATGTTTACCACTTTCATGAAAAAAAACCCAGGTGTTATATATTTGCATATTTATCAAAATATTGAAACCTTTTTATTTTTTGCCATAATTATCTTTCTTTGGGTCTAGATGATCTGAAAATAATTCAAGCACTCTACTGACAATCTCCCCAATACTGTTTCCTTTCACCATCATTCATTACGTTCAATCACATTAATTTTATAAGATTAATCCATAACACTATGTTCTAAACACTTACTGCAAGGAGAAAAAAAAATGACTCTAAGCCAAGATTATAATTACATATTTAATACATCTTGCTTTTAACAGCAATTTTCAAAGTAAATACATCATAGACCTTATAACTTATTAAAGATTTTATAATGCTTACAAAGTTGATTCTAAAAATATACTTTATTTGTTCTAAATGAATAACATTATCTGGAAGATAGAATAATAAATTATAGTAGTATGTTTACCACCACTCTAGTTAAGCTTGTGTACACATACTCAACATGAAATCCTCCTAGGATTTTTCAAACTTTCAGCCTGAAAACATAAAAGTAGAATAAAGTTTGGCATACAAGATTGCAGTCTGATAGTAATTGTTTTAAAACCAAAAATTTTAAAATATTCACTTGACATTCTAGGAAAGCAAGAGCACATGCACATACATATTTACATTGACACTCTCACTCATTCACACACACTCACCAGAATACTCAGAAGATTTTTGCCCTTGTGTATCAGACAATTGTCGACAATTTCAAAAAGAAAAATTAGGGGGAAAACATTAGCTAAGAATATGTTTAAGCCATACTTAAATGGCTCTAGATGTTAAAAAGATATGCCAAAAACTGTTACCAAGATCTTTAATATGCACAAAATGCCAACTGAATACATTCTTCAGCAAATTTGAACTATTCGCTCACTAGCAGACATGAATACATAAGAAAGCATATACCCATCTATTTCCCAGTTGCATATAAGATTGCAAATCCAGGCATTCCTCTGACAGTCATATGACTAAGCCTAAATAAAGAGGTTTGCTTTACAGAACCCAATATGTTACAGAACCCAATAGAATGAGAAACCTCATTTTGATCTGTTTGGAGTTTCTTATATGTTGCTCGTGCAAAAGCAGTGAGCTTCTATAATGAAAATGACAGATAATATCACTCTACACTTCGTGGCACTGCAGAAGGTGACTTTGAAGTCCCCAAACATTTACTTATTCTATTTAAACTTTCTAACTTTTAATTACATACATTCTTTCAAATTTAGACTCAGAGTGAGCTGATAACCTCACCTGCTCATTACATATACCTCCAGCAAAATCTGTCAAAACAGAAAATTACTCTTTGGGTTTGATGCAGGTTTGAAATCATTCTATGGAAGTTCTTTGCCATCAGATATTAAAATACTCAAAATTCTCTGAAACAACATTAAAATAGAAACTAACACACATCAGGGCATGCATAACTCATACCGCTGTGATTAGAAAAATAAAAAGACACAACAGTAGGTGAAAGAGAAAACACCAGCTTCCCATTTGCTTTGTGTTTGTTTGTTTTTTGGCTTTTCTCTTATGCTTTATTTCAGTACATTTATAAATTGTTCAAAGCATTCTTATACTCTTTGTGACAATAAGAGAGTGTTTTGGCACATCTACATTGTGATACAATGTATGGTATGTTTAAAATGAATTTAAAAATCCCATCTACTAATCAACATATTTTTACATGTAGTGCACATATATCTTAGTTATTTAAGTCAAATACATAAAGGTTTGCAACTGATTTACAGATGAAGCAATCACAGATTGCAGCAGTAGCATGTGTGTGCATTATCTATACACACTGATCAAAGGAAAAAATTGCACCCTGGCAATTTTATAGTCCTTAGTTTTGTTGATATATCTGTCATTTACATGCCCTTTTCTTCTTGTTTTTCTGTACAAAAGATATATTTTTGCCATCTTCATTCTTGATGAGACTTTTCTGCAATAACTTTACATTCATAC